AAAATTTGGTGAAAATATTCCTAGTGACAATGGACTCCATCTCATATGCGTAATTAAGATGTGATTATATCAAAACTCTTTGTAAAGTACATGTGACACCTTCCATAAAGATAGGTTCTGTAGATTGACAAGCTCACAATAAGGGTGTGGGGAAAGATTTCCACATGGTCTCGCCACATTGATAGAGAAAAAGGTCATCAGGCTATTAACAACATCCATTCCCAGCCTTCTAGGTGGATAACAGGTTATGCATCCCTTCCTTTGAAGAACAAGCCTGTGTGTTTAACATTCCTAATTCCCTTAGTGCTTTGCTGTGAGCACAAGGACCTCCATGCCTCCCATACCTTCTGGGATTGAACTCAATTACCAGGCTTGCTTGGCAGCAGGCACTTTTCCCTGCTCGGCCATCTCACTGGTCCTTTCCTTTGAAAAATATTTAGTTAGTTAGTTAGTTACTTAGTGTGTACCAGAAGAGAGGGTGAACCACTGAGTTACTTACAGGAGTATGGACAAAGGGTTAGTTAAACTCCTTTTCACTTTTTATTTTGATTTTTTGAGACAGGGTTTTTCTGTGTAGCTTTGCGCCTTTCCTGGATCTCGCTCTGTAGACCAGGCTGGCCTCGAACTCACAGAGATCTGCCTGGCTCTTCACTTTTTATTTTGAGACAGGGTCTTACTGTATTTCCCAGGCTGGCCTCACATTCACTCCGTGACCCAGGCAGGCTAAGAACCTGTGATCATCCTATCTCAGCTTCTCCAGTAACTGTGATTACTGGGCTGAGCCACTGGGCCTGCTTAAAGCCAGTCTTCTGAACTGAAGATTCCTAAACCAAGGGTGTCGAACAGGTAAAACAGACAAACCTGCTGCCACCCAACAAGAAAACATCCCAAGTTTAGTAGACAGACTTCTCTGCATTCCCTGCCCCACCCCGCCCCCACCCCCCATCCCACTCCCCACCCCTCAGCACGTGCCTTGAATATTTCGCTGGCTACAGAGATCAGGCTGTGCCCTGCTCTAATTACTCCACTTTGTGTGAAAGAGTGTCTTTCCAGCTCTGCCCGGCCCTTGGTGACTCCATGGAACACAGCAGCAGCTGGCTTTATTGTGAATGCAAACTCAGAGGCAGAATGACTCTGTATTTCTTTGTGCATGTAGGTTATCACTACCTGTCTAGGCACCAACCATGATACAAGTATTTAAGATTGGAATCATGGGGCTCAGTTGGACCAGTGCTTGCCTAGCATGCACGAATCCCTGGGTTCAATCTCCACCATTGTATAACCCAAACACGATAGTACAAACCTCTACTCCAAAAATGGAGGCAGTATCCTCTGGGGTTCAAAATTGTCTTCAGCTATGTAGTGATCTGGAGGCCAGCCTGGGCTACATGAGACCCTTCTTGTAAAAGGGCCCCAGACCTTAGCCCAACTGACTTCATGGTAGAAGTTACTATACCATTCAGGCTGTCAACTCAGCACATAGAGAGAACCGCCTGCCAAAACTAAAACAAAGGCCTGATCCATCCAAGTCCATGCTTATGGGGAAATCTCTAAATGGACTAACCTTGCTTTCTGGCTTCTGTGGTTCCTCTTCTAGCTAACAGTTCTTGTTAACTGAAGTGTGTCAAGCAAGAATATGGTTTTTGTGTTTAAAAGCTGCCCCTGGGAAAGGCTCAGTGCTAGACTCAGATCCCAAACACCCCGTGTAGGTGCCGGCTGGCTAATAAGACTTTCTGTTGGCTTAAACACACGTCTGAGCATTCTTCTCTGGTGGCAACCCCATAATATTCTCAATGAAGTCAAGAAAAAAGAAAAAGATTAGAATAAAGGACTTGTGGCTGGGGCTGGAGAGAGCAGTGAAGGGCACTGGCTGCTCTTGCAGAGGACCTTGGTTCAGTTCCCAGCACCCACATAACTCACGACTGTGTGTAACTCCAGTTCCAGGGGATCTGATGTCTTCTTCTGGCCTCTGTAGACATCAAACATATGTGTGGTGTATATACATACATGTAGGTAAGCATTCATATGCATATATCTTTTGTTTGTTTTGTTTTTGGAGACAGGATCTCTTCGTGTAGCTCTGACTGTCCTGGAACTCACTCTGTAGACCAGGCTGGCCTCAAACTCACAGACATCCACCTGCCTCTGCTTCCTGAATGAGTGCTAGGATTAAAGGCATTTGCAACCACCACTCAGCTCACATAAATCTTAAAAAATAAAAATAAAAGGGGGGCGGCGGCTGAAGAGATGGCTCAGAAATTAAGAGCACTGGCTGCTCTTCCAGAGGTCCTGAGTTCAATTCCCAGCAACCACATGGTGACTCACAACCATCTGTAATGAGATCTGGTGCCCTCTTCTGGCCTGAAGGCAGAACACATAATAAATGAATAAATCTTTAAAAAAATAAAATAAAATAAAAGAATCTGTGACTGCTATAGGAAGAGGCAGAAGGATCTCTGTGATTTTGAGGCCAGCCTGGTCGACAGAGCAAGTTCCAGGAAAGCTAGGACTACACAGAGACCCTATCTCAAACAAACTGACATAGCTTGTGAATTTATCGTTATTCGATACATTTCGACATTGTAGAAATATACAAATGTGTCCATCATGTTTCTGGCATGGTGTGCTCATGACACTTATAGGCAAGAGAACAACTGAATATTTTTATGGGAAGACTGAGAAATTGTCCCCCGAACAGTGCTGAACAATCCAGACCGTATTGTGTGTGTGAGCAACTATTTTTGTCTTGGGAATTTCACAGTGTCTAAGTTAAGTTGGCCCAAATATTTCTAATGTAAAGGAACCATTTATATGCCAGCATAATTAAAATATATATCCACTTCTTGCTATCTTTCCTAAAGACATTTTTAAAAAATTATTATTTTTAATTAAGTGTGTGTGTGTGTTGTGTATGTGTGTGTGTATGCATGTGAGCGCAGGTGCCAAAGGAGACCTGAGGGGTTGAACTGCCTTAGAGCTGGAGTTACAGGCAGGTGTGAGCCATCTGACAGGGGAGCTGGGAATCGACCTTGTGTCCCCTGGGAGAGCCGTATACGCTCTTAACCAGTGAGTCATTCTTTGAGGTCCAAATACACTTCTCCACACGCCAGTTTCTGAGTTTACTGTCCCTGCTGATTTAGGGACACGGTCTCAAGCCTAGGCATGTGGTAAGAAACCTCAGGATACATCCAGATCTTAATTAGTGTTGGAGTATGGACAAGTTGGCCTACCCAGGAGAGGTGATGGAAGGTTCTTGAATCTTACAAAACATCCAGTTCAGGTCAGATGCATGTTGGGAAGATTCCCATGGGAAGCACAGTAGGAAAAAAGGTCACTAAGGGCCCCCCCCCGCCACACTTTCACTGCAGGAAGTGAGAAAGGACGGCCTCTGCTGGTCAGGCCCGGGAACTGCGTCCTTTACCTTTCGCTAGGGTCAGGTTACGTAAGCACGAACCCAAGATGATCCCCCAGACTACGCAGAGATGGGAATACATGGTCTTCTTTTAGACATAGCGTATGTAAAGGCTCCTCAAGGCTGAAGAGTTCTGAGAAGGCCAGGCTGCAATCACATTCACTCTTAGGACGAACGGAGAAGACATTTTTCCCGAGGTCACCCAGTAAAACCAGAGAGACTTAAGAATTGAACACAGGTCTCTCTACTCCATGGTTGTGATTCTGAATGGCTCCAGCCCTTTTAAATAGACGCTTAGGAGCATTCGGAGGAACCAATCATCCTGAGGTCCCGAGGGGCGAGTAACCGGTTCTCAATGGCGCCTTGGGCGGAAGCTTGAAGGCAGCACCAAACAGCAACACCAGTGTCCTCCTTCCGGTATCCTTAAGGCCGTCACCCTGAACGGTAAAGCTCCGCCCACCCCGGGGCGTCTCGGGAAATGTAGTTCTACCTTTATTTAGACTGTAGGGTAAGTGCTATGTAGAACTTCATTTCCCGGAGGGCTGCGCGCTCTGTTACCTGAGCTAGACGATGAGCCGAAGGCCCGAAACCTTTATTTAGGTTTTTTTTTTTTTAAGTTCTCAGAAGGAAGGTGTGACGGCGAACTGAGGCTTTTGGCTACTCGGCGGGTTATCTCATCGGGCGAAGCTGGAGGACGAGACCTTGGCGCCTGTCGAGCGGCCCCACTTCCGGTCGGCGGGGAAAAACATAGGGCTCTTCTCCTTTAATTGCAGTGGGCGGGACGCGGCGACTCCGCCGGCGTTGCTATTGGCGGCGATTGGGGGCGCGGAAACTGAACTGGCACAACTGCCGCCGCCACTACCTCGGGATTTTGGGGTGCTGCTGGTCCTGCCAGCCCTGCCAGCCCCGCCATGGCCGCTCCCACCCCGGTAAGTCCCTGTAGAGTGGTCGCCTGGGTAGCTGGAGCAATGGCCGCGAGAGGGATTCTGGGGTTGCCTCCCCACTAAGGTCGTGGAGTGGGTCTGGGCATTGACTCAGCTCCCCAAGCGCCAGGCCAGATGCTGGACAACCCGGGCGAGCAAACAGGTCCCTGCCTCAGGGATTTGCGGCTTAGCAAAGAAGACACATGCAAGGCCTTGTCGTGGCCTGGGACCTGTGTGAGCCTCGTCATCCAGTCCTCTTCTTATGTCTTCTTGGAGGCGACGTCCTTTCCAATCGGTGGAAACAGTAGGCCATTGGGATGCCTGGGGTGTGGGAGGCCTGCAGCATGACCTGGGACCGACTGGGACCTCTCTCTCAGTCCAGAAAAGGACTCCAAATTGGCCTTTTAAATAAGAGTTCGCTTCCAAAGTGCCTGGTGCTCTGGCGAGGCCCTGATGCACCTAAAGACTTGGGCAAAAATAGAACCTCGACTTTTGAGACTGCCAGTCTGATATTCTGTTTACATAAATAACAACACACTGTCTTTGGGGAGAGGAGGCCCACATGCAGGGAACTACGCAGGGAAGAGGGCATTGGGAAGGGGGTCCCACTGATCAGGCTTGGACCTGAGCATGCTTCTGCACACTGAGCCTAGGATGGACACTGCCTTGCCTTTATTTTTCCAAGAGGCTCAGGTGAGGAAAAGAGAATGGGCACTTGCTGCTTAGTTGGAGCCCTCCCCCTGAACTACCACTCCATCTGTTAAAAGGCGTGGTCTGGCAGGTGTGTTGGGGGTGGAGCTGGGCACTGGGCCTCACCTTTGTTTTGGGTACAGCTTTGTGGGGTAGCAGTGGCTGTGCTATGCCATAGTAATGTCCTTTCCCAAGCTGGGTTCCTTGGAGCTCCTAAAATTTTTTTTCCTAAGTTTTTGATGTTTAGGGTGGAAGGAGATAACTTATTATGGTTGGTGTATAACTCCTAAAGTCTTGTGTGTAGCTCTGGCTAGCCTGGAACTCACTATGTAGATTCAGGCTGACCTAGAACTCACAGAGGTTTACCTGCCCCTGCCTCCTGAGTGCCGGGATTAAAGGTATGTGGCGCCACACTCGGCCCATATTTGGTTTTATTTGTTGTGGATTTATTGATTCATCTGCTCATGGGCCTGTGTTTGCAGATTGTGTCTCCTTACTTTACTCATTTATTCTAATAGTTTTTAGTGAATTCCTATATACAAGTTATAAAAATGAGTGGTCAGGCGGTGGTGGTTCACACATTTAATCCCAGCAATTAGGAGGCAGAGGCAGGTAGATCTCTGTGAGTTTGAGGCCAGCCTGGTCTACAGAGCGAGTTCCTGGACAGCCAGGACTGTTATATAGAGAAACATTGTCTCAGAAAAAAAAAATACCTTGAGTGTTTTCATCATCTCCTGGTTATAGGAAGAGTCTTGGTCCCAGAGAAGCCCCTTCCTTGGGCTTTACCCATTTGACCTTGCTCTCCCTTAGGATGACCCCTCACTGGAGAGGCATTTTAAGGGCCACCGAGATGCAGTCACCAGTGTGGACTTCAGTCTCAACACGAAGCAGCTGGGTAAGAGAAGGCATCCATCTTGTCTGGGGCTGTAGATTCTAAACTGAGGGCTGAGTTTCTTCCTGGGAGGACTGGTGTGGGAGCAGCAGGTACAGCCAGGACGTGCTGTCTTTCTAGTCCTTTGTATTGCTTATGAGGCTCCATGAGCTCCGTTGTGCGTGACAAGGGTATAATGCTCAAAGAGGTGAGCAGCCTTGCCAGGGTCATGCAGCCTTTATTTCTTTTAATTTTTTCCTTTTATTGAAAAAGATTCTTTTTCTCACAAAATACATCATGATTATGGTTTCCCCTCCCTCTACTTCTCATAGTTCCTTCCCACGACCCCTCCTATCTGGACCCATTCCCTTTCTGTCACACATTAGAAAAAAACAGGCGCCTAAGGGATAATAATAAAATATAATAAGATAAAACAAAAACTATCGCATCAGAGTTGGACAAAACAAACAAGGAAAAAAACCTAAAAAAGAAGGCACAACAGTCAGAGACACACTTGTTCCACACACTCAGGAACCCCATAATGGACATTAAATTGGAAGCTATAATATATACGAAAAGGAATTGGTGCAGATCCATTCAGGCTCTGTGCATGCTGGTCATGCATCCTTTGAGAGACTAGGGTCTAGGTTTTTCCACATCCTGGCCACTTCTTGAGTCTGCACTGTGGTGTGGGCCCCAAACTGGCTCCTTTTTCTTGAGTCTTCAGTTTGATTGCCCTCGGGAATGTGGCACATTTTCTTTTTACAGAGACCTACTAGTGAGAAAGATGTTGAACGAGGTCCATCTCCCAACTCCATACCACTGCCCCTTCCTTGTACACTTCCTTATGTTTGTTCCTAAATAGCTTTCTTGCTGCAGATTCCTCCTTTCTCCACGGATGAGGCTTGCCTCTTTATCTTGTTGTTGAGGTTTCCTGCCAGAAGCCGTCAGTGTAGTGGTTTGCTGTAAGCAAAGAGGGAGCTGAAGCCATTTTTCTCTCTTCCCTCCTTAGGTGTCTTGCTAAGTTTGGTCCTTTCTTTTATTTTTAATTTATTTTTAGATTGTCTTATTTGTATGAATGTTTGCATGTTTGTGTACCACGCATGTGTATGGTGCCCCCAGAGTCCAGAAGAGGACACAGGACTTCCCGAAATTGAAGTTATAGACTGTTGTGAGCCACCCTGTGCTTGCTGGGAATTGAACCCGGATCCTCTGGAAAAGCAGCAAGTGCTCTTAATCGCTGAGCCATCTCTAGCCCCAAGTTGGTCCTTTGCATAGTTAAAGGCCTCTGTGTCTGACTGGCCCCTGAGTGTCAGGAGGCCTTTGCCCCTGTGCTCTCAGAGTGTCACTGGGGAGAGCCCACAGGGGTCATTTCATAGGACCCTGGGTTGCAGTCAGAAATGGCATGTGAATGGCCTGTCAGTCTGGTTCCTGTGTTGGCCTGCTGCATGGAGAACTGCCAGGTCATAACTCTCCAAACTCCATGTCAGCAGTCAGGAAGTGTGGGCCATCCCATGGGATCCTTTTCATTGCCCTGCTGGGGGTGCCTGTGCAGGTGGAGCTGGGCTTGTTGCTCTCCTGTGTCCCCAGCAATGAGGCAGGTGCTCAAGGTTCTTGAGATCTGAGAATAATCATGTCACTGACTATCCTCAGCCAGCGGCTCCATGGACTCATGCCTCATGATCTGGCACATGAAGCCCCAGTCACGTGCCTATCGCTTCACGGGCCACAAGGACGCTGTGACTTGTGTGAACTTCTCCCCGTCAGGACACCTGCTTGCCTCAGGCTCCAGAGACAAGACTGTTCGCATCTGGGTCCCCAATGTGTGAGTTATGGATCAAGGGACTGACAGCATCGAGGGACTTGGTGTAGGAGCTGTCCCTCCTTGGGTCCTTATCCTGGCTTTGAGCTGGTCACAGTGGGACATGTGACCTCTAGAGGTGCCAGCAGAGGGCTTCAGTTGGGGCTGTCTCCTTAGGTTGGAAGGACTTGTGAGGGTAGAGGTGGGGAGAAGCACTTTGTTTCTGTTGGGGAGGCTCTTGCCTTTCTGAGGGGAGACTCGGACAGTCAGGCCTGGAGAGGCAGAGAGAACTTGCTGTACTTGTAGCTCCTCATGTCACTATTGTGAATCTCCTGAGTCTGGATGTCTGTCCTCACAGCAAGGGTGAGTCAACCGTGTTTCGTGCACACACGGCCACAGTGAGGAGTGTCCACTGGTGCAGTGATGGCCAGTCGCTCGTGACAGCCTCTGATGACAAGACAGTCAAGGTGTGGTCAACTCATCGCCAGAGATTCCTATTTTCCCTGAGCCAGCACATCAACTGGGTCCGCTGTGCAAAGTGAGCATTCCCTGACTGGAAAACCCGGGGGGATGCAGGGGTTGTGGGGGACAGAGAGGAACTGTGTCAGCCTGTGACCTTGGGCAAGTTGTGTGGCTTCTCTTTGATGTATCCCTGAGCCTTGATTTCCTAATCTGTACTACGTCAACAGCTGTGGTTGATGCATTGAGCTTGTCGGGAGCTTCATTGAGCTCATGTGTGATATTAGTCAGCCATGCCCCTCTGCCAGGGATGCTGAGAACTCCCAGGATAGCAGCAGCAGCAGCAGCAGCAGCAGCAGCGAGCTCCTGTCAGCACCCTGTGCATTTACCCCTCCTCCTTCTGGACAGTTCTGCCAGCTAGGGAGCGTCCTTCTCATTTGGTAGAAAAGGAAACAGGCTCAGAAGAGTATCTTGCCCGGGGGCATGCAGTGGGTAGGTGGTAGAGCTTGGGCCTGAGCCCACATTTCTCTGGCACTCGGGTTCGCCTACTTTCCTGTAGCAGGAGTTTTCTCTCTGGGTCCTGCCAAGCCCCGGCAGTCCCTTAACCCACTTACAAAATAAACACACGGATGCTTATATTGTTTAAACTGTTTGGCCTAATGGCCCAGGCTTCTAGCTATCTAGTTCTTACATCTTAAATTAATCCATTTCTATAAATCTATACCTTGCCACGTGGTTCGTGGCTTACCAGCATCTTCACATGCTGCTTGTCATGGCGGCGGCTGGCAGTGTCTACCTCCGCCTTCCTGTTCTCTCAGTTCTCCTCTCTGTTAGTCCTGCTTATACTTCCTGCCTGGCCACTGGCCAATCAGTGTTTTATTTATTGACCAATCCGAGCAACACATTTGACATACAGACCATCCCACAGCACTTTCCTCAGAGCTTAATTGTTCTCCAAAGCTGCTAGGTGGGGGCTTGATGTTGAGGCCCTGGCTTTGGGGTGGGCGGCAGTGCCGTGACATAGCGTGCCAGGTGACTTGAAGAGTTGCAGACACAGATATGCCTGCCTGTGGCTGCTTCAGCTCCTTCCAACAGAGCTTTCTCATGTCACAGCTCTGCTCCAGAGGAGGGGTTAGGGTGGCCATGAAACCATGAAAGTCAGAGGTTAGGGACCATTGAGTTATCTTCCTCTGCGGATACCGTGGAAGTTACTTATTCCCTAGGACAGAACCGTTCTTTTTTCTGGGAAGGCCCTGTTCTGAGAGGTCTTATGCTCAAGGACCTAAGAATGGGGGGGGCGGGGCATGGTGTCCACAGTAGGCCCCTGATGGGGGGCCTCAGGCCCCCCTGTGTTTTGTTGGCCCGTTGTGTTTTGCTGATGTACCGATGTGGGGCTCCTGCTCTCCTCCGTACATCATCACACAGCACCAGTTGTGTATTGCTACAGGCCGGGTGCCTCTGGGTGTTCTGTGCATTGTGCTGCTGCATGATGACTGTGGGCACTGGAGAGGATGGATCTCAGAGGGACGCCCCTTCGGGAGCACTGAAGGTGTTAGAGCAGCACATGGAACCCTGGTAGTTCCTGGGTCAGGTAGCTGGGCCTAGTGGTGCACACCTGTAGTCTCAGGACTTGGGAGGCAGGAGGATTGCCACAGTTTGAGGCCAGCCTGATCTACATACAGAGTGTTGCAGTCCAGCCAGGGCTACACAGTGAGACCCTATGTCAAAACAACAATAACACAGAAAGCTTAAAAGGCTCAAAGAATCCCTGGATCAGGAAACAGCATGCGGGGAGAGGTGGCTGCAGGCCATGGAGTGGTAACCCTCTTAAGAGTCGGTTAGTAGTGCGCCTCATGCCCTGTTCAACGTAGGTTCTCCCCTGACGGGCGGCTCATCGTGTCTGCCAGTGACGACAAGACTGTCAAGCTGTGGGACAAGACCAGCCGGGAGTGCGTCCACTCATACTGTGAGCATGGCGGGTGAGTCCTTGTTGTGTCCTCCATCTGCAGGTGCTCCTGCTTGCTGCTCTTTGGCTGACTTGCCTTTTCTATGAGCTTTGTACCTTTTCCTTTGTGGATGGACAGTTAAGCCTGCTCCCCACCCCACAGAGAGCAGAAACACTTCACTTAAAGTCATGCAATAATTTGGTCTCTTTCCCCCTTTAGTTTCTGGTTCTCAGAATATACTGTGTCTCTCGGAGCATTGAATCAGCCTCTAAACGGCATGTTAAAACCTAGCATCAGCCGTGGTGGTGATTTATGAATGAAAGCCTCCGGTTCTTGTAGCAGCCAGTGGCTCTTTGTTCTGTGCCACATCATACACGGAGAGTAGGAGGAGCCTGCCTCTGCGCAAGACTTAGCTTTCCTAAGTGTCTAAGCAGATTGCAGCTTTACTCCTCTTTATGTAAGCCGGGACTCACAGGCAGGGGCCCTCCACAGTGCCCGAGTACCATGGATAGTGCTCTTGGCTGTCTTCTAGAGACAGATGGATTAGTAGTTCTTGTAGCCCTGGTGGACCTTCCTTCCCACCTGGGCCTCAGTTGGCAGGACCTGTCTTGGAGCTAGCCCTGGCCAAAGGAAGCTCAGAGCAACTTGGCTGACTTGTTGGTCTGAAGATGGCTGTTTCCGCTTGTCCTGAGAACTCAGCAGTGGGCTGGGCATGGTTACACACGCTAGTTATCTCCGTACTGAGGAAGGGGGTGGGAAGATGGGTCTGGGGACATAATGAACAGTGAGCTGTTGTCTCAAAAGAAAGTCGGGAGGGAGGGAGGGAGGGAAGAGAGGGAGGGAGGGAAGAGAGGGAGGGATTCGGTCCCTGATAAGTCTACTTTACTTCACTGCTGGCCACTGATGTCACCTACCTCTTGGTCTTTCTTGGCCACCTGGTAAAGAAGCATGTTCCAGGTTGAGGGAACTCTGTGGACAGGACACTTCTGGGTCCATCCTAACCCAGGAGGACCTCTCAGGGCACGTGACTGTCCTGTCTCTCCAGCTTTGTCACCTACGTGGACTTCCACCCCAGTGGGACGTGCATCGCCGCCGCGGGCATGGACAACACAGTGAAGGTGTGGGACGTGCGGACTCACCGGCTGCTGCAGCACTATCAGTGTGAGTGGTGAACAGTGTCCCAGCCAAAGGGAGCCCGGTGAGACGGCGGCTGGTGCTGAGACGGCCAGTGCCAGGCTTTTGGTTCATTGCTGGAGTGACTCACCAGGCCCAGGCCCAGCCCTACCCATAGTGGTCATTGTTGGTGGGAGCTTGGCCTCATGGTATTCTCCACAGATCTGCCTAGAGCCGTGAACCAAGTAGAAGATTGACTTTGGCTGCGGCCAGGCTCCGCTTCCAGCCCCAGACCCCTTATTTAACTGTCACCTTTGAATGGCAGAGCAGTGGGGAGTTGACATTGGTTTGAAGCTCAGTCTCTCTTTTTTTTTTTTTTAATTTTTCTTTCTTTTTTCTCTTTAAAAATTAATTTTCTCCAATATCATTGACTTTTATTCATTCATGTTAAGTCACCTGAAATGGTATCTGTTGCATTTAAATGCTCATTAATGTAAATGGCTGAACAAATCCATCTCAATGGATAGTCAGTATCCCACAGTTCAGTCACTTCAACACAGCCATGACAACTCCCACACCAGAACAGTACTTTATTTTGTAAATTTTGACCTGTTATTACTCCCAAGTTTTTTATATATATGTTCAGCTGTTAAGTGTACAAGACAGGGTTTCTTTGTGTAGCTTTGCGCCTTTCCTGGAACTCACTTGGTAGCCCAGGCTGGCCTCGAACTCACAGAGACCCGCCTGGCTCCGCCTCCCGAGTGCTGGGATTAAAGGCGTGCCCACCGCCGCCCGGCCTGGAGCTGTCTTTAGCACTGGCTGCCCAGTATCCCCAGCAGCACTTTCTTGGTTGCTTCTCAGCTGTCGCACCTCTTTCTTGAGTCACTGAGGTGAGCAGACCTGGAATGGGGAGAAGTTCCTGGCTTGTGACAGGACAGAGTGGAGTGTGGGTCCTGTAGCCAGCTTCACCATTCCCAGCTGTGTGACACCGGCGGGTTTACTTGACTCCTTGGAGCTCTTGGGACAATGACAGGGTTCATCTTACGTTGATTTCATATGCTATGGGGTTGGCGTTAGTTGGCTCATGTGAAGAATGGAAAGTGGCTGGCACAGCCTGGCAACAGTGACAGTTCCTGCTGCTCCTGGCTCTACCGGGATTCGTCTAGGCATACAGTACACTCCACCACCACCAGGTGGCAGGCCTTAGCCACAAGAACCAGGTCTGTCTATTCTGAGAGCCTAGACATCTGCCACTGGTGTTCTTTCCCGGCTTCTAGAGCAGAACAGCACTGTGCAGCTCAGCCTTCCATCTGGAGAGGTGTGAGCCTCCCTCAGGCTCAGAGACTTCTTTTTTCTGTTCCGGGCCAGGGCTGAGGGAAGGCCCAGGGTTGGAGACTGGGCATTATCTCCACGTTGACTGGTGAAGGCGGCAGAGCCAGGAGGGCTTGGACAGAGGGGGGAGGCAGGAAAGGGACAGGGCATGTGGCAGCTGGGCATGCGGCATCCGGGAGTGCAGGCTGTGTTCTGTGAGGGGTGACCTGTGAGCGGTAATCCGATGAGAGAGGGCGAATAGGGATTCTAGGGCAGTGCTTGGCGTGCTGTGTGCCACACAATCCCCACGCTGGGAGAAGAGCATTTCTAGCTGTCTCTGGCAGAGTCCGAGTCTCCCTGATGGATCAGGAGCCTAGAGCTGGTGTTCATGAGTTAAAGCAGCATGCACTCACTGGAAGGACCTTGAATGCCACCTCTAAACCTAAGGTTCCAAATCCTCGTGGTTGGCAGCTCTGGGGCATGACACTCAAGGAGCAAATGGATGAGGGGCATTTGAGAGGACAAGTGTTGAGTAAGGTTCTGTGAGGTGTGTGGGGGTGATAGCCCCTGGCCGCTGGTGCACGGCTTTCCATGCCCAGTGTAGCAGGCATCAGAGTGCAGAGGGTCAGACCACGGGGACCACTCGTGTACAGTGAGTAGAGGCAGAAGCAGATGCTGGGGTGGTGGAGGGTCCCACTGGGCCCTGGGATCTGCGACATGAGAAGGGCCAGTGCCACATTCTGTGCTCTTATTATTGGAGGATCACTGAAGAGCAAAGGTCTCCAAAGCAGCCAGACTGAGACCCATGGGAGAGCTGGGGGAAGGCAGAGGCAGGAGGACGGGGTCTCAGGAGGAGTCAGCAGGAGGTGGGACACTAGAGAGGAGATGGCGGAGAGGGCTGTGGGCTCCCAAGGGAGTGAGCTTGGTCATGGGCAGCAGGACAGCTCGGTGCTGGCCGAGCTAGGAGGTGTGTGGACTTGAGTGAGCATCCAGGCCGAGTTTCGAGTGGA